GGGGCTAGCAACTGGGTATTTGTCCGCGCTGCATTTTTACCTGGGATAAAAGTTTTTGTGTCAAAGTGGAACAAAAGAACCCATTATATATTTTAATGTTATNACAAATTTTTACTCCGCGTCGAAAGTTACGGGTTCAGTTGAACCCGTAGTTATTACTGAAAATATATATAAAAAATATTTTTTCCCCGGGATGTGGGCTGAAAAAACAAAAAAAAATAAATTTGAAATTACAAAAAAAAGTAAAAAAAAAAATTGCGGGGGAGGGGGTAGTAGCTGGGTATTTGCACGCGCTGCATTTTTACCTGGGAGAAAAAATTTTGTGTCAAAGTGGAACAAAAGAATTGGGGTTGGAGGGCCAAAATGGAACAAGGCTGAGTTAAAGTGCAAAAATGAAAAATTGAGCCAAGTTTAATGGTCTGTATATGTATTTGGCCATAATTAAACCTATCAGTTTGAATGTGGAAAAAAAAAAAAAAAAAAGGAACCTACAATCTTTTGGTAATTTTTTACAGCGAACACTTGCGCAGAATAAAGATGAATTACCTTTAAACGAGAAGTTGAAAATTATTAAGCAGATCAAGAACAATTGGTTGGTTAATATGTAGATTTTACAATTCGCGTCATTAACTTGGAATGAGAATTGAGCTGTAGAGCTAGTGAATGTCTTGCAAATTGATGAATAGTGTTAAATTCTCACTACACTAACACTATTCCACTCTCAAAGAAATAAAGGTAAAAGTTTTCTACTTTTTTTACCGTCCCAATAGACAAAATTTTAGAGTGGAATGAAGGGAATAGGAATTATTTGTAACATACCAAAACTAGCAACATTTTTAAGCGTAAAAATAGCACAGTCTAGCCAGTTTTCGGACTGGTCATTCAAAAATAGCCAGCATTTATCAAGTCAATGAAAAATAGCCACTATTTTGCTGCAACAGAGACCAGTCCAGCATAATATACTGAAGTTCGGTGCACCTGTGTATGAACTTCCAGCATATTATACTGGAACTCTAACACACGGAAAGTTCCAGCATAATATACTGGAGATTCGAGCACTTGTGTATGAACTTCCAGCATATTATACTGGACCGGTATACTTTGCTGGAACTCCAATATATTATGCTGGAGTTCTAATGTACTTATGCTGGAACTCCATCATATTATGCTGGAGTTCCAGCATACTTACCCTGTAACTCCAGTATAATATGTTGGACTTCAAGTATACTTATGCTGGAACTCAGCATAATATACTGGCGTATTTTTCGAGTTTTGAACAGTGTTTTCGCTCAGATTTATCTTTACATAAAAAGTGACTAATTCGACTACTTTTGAAACTGGACTATTTTTGAACGACCACTTGTAAATCTGGCTATTTTTGAATTTCTCCCTTTTTAAGCTACTATTCTTCATCAACCATGATAGACTTCCTTCAAACAGAAAAATAAAGGTAAAAGATTTTAATTTCTTTTTCCCCTTTGACTGACCAAATAAAAATCTGCAATTATATGGTCACTAATTTCTCTGCGTTCTCCACTAAAATTATCAACCTCCAAACGATTCAATAACAAAAAGGTTGCATCTTAAGGGCCATTTGATCCAAGAATGATTATGATGATTTATCAACTATTTTCATTGGATTAAAACATCAACGAGTTCCTTCAGTCATGAATAGAAATTCATTCTTCTCACAAATGGTACACTTTTTTCATTCTTCCACTTCAATTTCCAATTACACAACCGAAATTTCAATCAAAAAAAGAATTTATCCTGCAAGAAGTATAAAACATCAAATGAAGCTCGTGCGGTATTTGTTGACTTATCACAACCAATAATATACAGACAACAATATTTCTATCTACAAAACATAACAAGAGACTCAGACAATGACCATGTTGACAAGAATGGGAAGTTGAGGTTCCATATTCTGTTGCACGCAAATACAGCAGGAAGCATAAGACCACTTTCAAAGCATGCTATATCCGTCCTCTTCATTCATCCCAAGATAACACAAGATGGACAGTATAAACACGAAAAAGGATGAGAGCTCCAACGCCATGGCTCCCCAACCGATTACACCAGCATGCTTTAAGATAATCGGAATTGCAATGCTGCCAACGGTGGACGCTCCAGTCAAGAACTTAGTTGCATTTAGCCAACTGTTAATAGAGTCATTTAAAAGCAAATATGAGGTCTGGTTCTTGAGAAGAAGTGCTTTTATTTAAGATTTACTAATTATCGCATGATGTGCATAAAAGAACAAGCCTCACCCGCTTCCAGATTCAGAGTACAGACTGGAAGTATCTGAACCAGCAAAGAACATCAAAGGCATTGGTAGAATGACATACATTATAACTACAGCAACAAAAACCAACAATAGTCAGGATCCATGATAGTTTACAGAGCATTTTTAACTCTCAGATATTTAAAAACAACAGATTTCACATGTTATGTCTTTCTAATGTTCAAGATCTCAAAGCTAAGCACAAAATTATGTAATATCTAACCTACACACCCCAACTTAACAGACAGGAAACTTCCTTCTGAAACGGTTGAATCATTTTATATGCCCATCCTAAAAGCAGAGTTTCTAAATTTGCACAAGGGGATGACAGGGAGTAAGAGTAAATGGATGATCTAGTTTAAATTTGCACAAGCGGATGACTGGGAGTAAGTGCAAATGGATGATCTAGTTTAATCCGAGATATATGATTTCAAAACACCTGTCAACATTGGCCACCAGTTATTGTACAAAGCACATGCCTGCAACACAATACAAGGAAAGCCAGATCAGGACAATGACTACAACAAGAGAGAAAAGAGATCCTATAAACCATAGGATATCAAAGGACAATGGGGCAGACCAGTATTTGCAATACAATGCCTCCAGATACTAACATTGCCAAACAAGCTAGCTTCCCTGTGTGCAAGCATTCTCTGAGATAACGTGGCATGTCTGTCATTATCTTGCTCACCTCATACAAGAGAACGGCTGCAATACAGATTTTCAGCACAGTTTCAAAATTAGGATTTTCAGACCATATGATGTGGGTGATAAATAGTTTGAGCAATTAAAAATATTGGAAACAACCAAAAAAAAAACAATTAAGCAAACTAAACGTTTATGCCACGACATTATACATCCAACACATCTTTCTTTCATGTGGGGCAATGGGAAGATATATACCCTTTTGGCCAGAATTGTTATTGATGACCACAGTCCTCTGTTCCCTAAGATACACTCTCTTTACTCCATACCAGTCGCTTCATTAGGCCATGAACTAGGAAGTATTACTCCATTATGGATTGAAACACAAATTTTTGCCAATAAATACATCCAAAAAAGATAGCGTTTACTCTGGAAAAGAGAACTTGCACTCCAGAGTTTCTACATATGCCTTTGCTATTTACAGGATGATCCTCCACTAGATACGTTTTAATTCAGAGCTACCCTTCCATGCTCCAAGAAGTAGCCCCTATGTCCATCTCCAGTAAAGCAAGAGAAAAGAGCATTTGAAAGAATTAAACAAGCCTCAGAGCCACTGACCCATGCCCCCGTCCCCTACCTGTTCTCTTTTACTTTCTTTGATTAGGATCAAAGTGGCAATTTCTGTTCTTTTTTTTCCTTTTCAAAAACTTCATTAAGCAAAAGAGACAACATCCAAAGTATAAAAAGAAAAAGCAAAAAATTTTGGTTTGCATTTTTAAATTTGTGATTTTTTCAGGTACTTATATGTCTTTATTGGATATCACCATATCGGTGTCTGTTTAATCATGATATAACCTTCTAATTATCCTTAAACTTGAGTTTTCCCCCTAGACTTCAGTGAGAGACAGCGAGAAACTTGACTAGGAATACATTTGCTAAGTTCCACAGATTGTTAGACCTACAATTGGTGGCGTCTCTTCAGATTGAGCTAACTTCTAGGATATGCTCAGAGTTAGAGACACTTCATTTACATACAAATGCAAAAACGTCAGTTGTACATTTAGGATCTCATCATCCTACTTCGACATCCAAAAAAATAGAGATAATTGATCTTGTTCCTGTTCTTATATTCTAAGAACCGCAAAAAGATTCCAACCTTTATAAGACGTTAATCAACTAGCATGAGGACACAACTTTTATGTTCAATCACTTCAATTCTCCATTAATCTTACATTTCTGCATTGATGCTTAGTAAACCTTTAATATACATTACTTTAATTTAGTTTTCTTTTTTATCACAGTGATATAAGGGGACAGCTTCTACCACTTCAGCTCGGTTAATAAAATTTAAAAAAAGTATAAAACCAATTTTTTTTAAAAAAAGCCTTATATTTTGGCAGATAAATAGGTTAGAGCAAATCCTCAATTTCAACACTAAACTTCTAGTCCTGTTCCAAAAGAGTGCCCTTAAAGATTCAAATACAATTAGCGATCACAAAGATTCTGAAAATATATAGAACAAATTAGTTGTACTAAAATTAATGAGAAATGTAACTTTACGGTATTTACCAGAAAACGATCGACTGGGGGACACCGATCAGTGATGAACTAATATTTGAGGGTTCCGATCGGCGGCGGCGTTTGATTGGCCAAGATTCAACTGTGTTTTTCGCCGGAGAGCTGAGCCGCGACAAAGATGTTGATATTGTGGCTTGTCTGTAATATTTGTGATTTTTTATAAGGTGAAAATAAACTTATTTTGTTTGCTGAAACGCCATTATTAGGGAAATTACCACTTCCTTGTCATTTTGTAAAATGGAATGTGCGCGCTGGCAACGTAATTTGTTAGGTTATTAATTCACTGTAAAATAATGATTTGAAATTGGTGCCATATAGGCAACGTTGATGGCAAAATCAAATTACTTTTTTTATATTTTTATATTTCACCTAGTGTTGGTATCTGGGTCAGGGGTCGGTCAGGGGCGGCTCAAGAAAATTAGGGGTCTAAAGCCACTTTTTAATCAAAAGCCTTTCAGAAAAAGAAAAAAAAAATTATCTATATATTTTAATTAAAGTCTATTTTTCTAGATGTTTAAGATGTAAAGTTGTTAATAATTTCTTTTATAAATAATTTAATCTCTCCAAAGATATTGGTGATCTTGGATAACATAACCAGATTCAACAATTTAATAACTTGATATCGAAATAATTTTTGATGTTCTAATATACTTGTTGAAACCTGAGGAAAAAAAAAGAATGCGCAATATAGTTTTATTCAACAATACTCTTCAACTCTTGTTTTGTATAGAAAAATAAAACTCTTTTCTTTCTAGAGAGAACAATATAACTTATAGAAACTCAAGCTTTTTTGCAGAAATCAAGAAAAAGAATATAAGAATGTAATACCTGTTTTTTTATGAGAATGATAAAAAATAAGACTTGGACTATTGAAGATACCAAAAAATGGATTCTAAAAGTTTATTATACGTTTTTAGTGGAAAATGTAAAAGGAGAATAATAATATAGGTACCTCACTAATGATGTCAATCGTAAAATTTAAATAATAAAAAAAATTATATTCACGACAAGGGTTTAGGGGGGGAGTGATTTTCTTTCTCCAATTTTTGCTCAAGCGATTACATTAATACTAAACTAAAAGTTATCTTTACCTTTTATAAAATATTTTACTTTCTTATTTTAAAATACCCAATATTTTTAGACCTTACCTCTAAAGATTGTTGTGAGATGTATATGATCCAACTTATCTTAATTAGATATATTGCGTTCGAGTCCTGTAGATAAAAAAATCCTCTTAAAATATATTATTTTTTTTATTATATCTTATGCTGTATGAATCCAGATTAGTCAGTGTCTCATCTCAACAAAAATACAAGTAAAAAAAATTAAAGCCCCCAAAATTTAGGAATCTAAAGCCCTTGCTTTAGTGGCTTGACCCTTGAAACATCCTGATCTCGGTATTTGATTTGGGACACACATAATTTGGATTCATGCAGGGAGGTTTACTTTTGAGGTAAACACTCCCTACTAGTAATAACTCTATTTTCAAGGTGCAAACACGTTACGTCCGATTAAAAGCAAAAGGGTATTTCTATAAACTTTTGGTGATACTAAAATAAATTCCAGTAACTTTTGATATGCATACGTAGAAGTAGTGACCTTATAAAAATAAGGATAGTCGTTGTACATTACAACCACTTTCTTTGTCGCCCTTTTAAATTTTCATTTAAATAAGCATAACTTATTCTGGGTGAGAAATAAAAAATAGGCAAATTTATAAGTGGTCATTCAAAAATAGTCATAGTTTCAAAAGTAATCGAAATTTAGTCACTTTTCATATAAAGATAAATCTGAACGAAAACACTGTTCAAAATCCGGAAGATACTCCAGCATAATATACTGGAGTTCTAGCATAAGTATATTGGAACTCCACTATATTATAATGGAGTTCCAGCATAAGTATACTAGAACTCCAGCATATTATAATGGAGTTCCAGCATAAGTATACTGGAACTCCAGCATACCGGTTCAATATAATATGCTGGAAGTTTATACATAGGTGCTCCAATCTCCAGTATATTATGCTGGAACTTTCCGCGTGTTGGAGTTCCAGCATAATATGCTGGAAGTTCATACATAGGTGCACCGATCTCCAGTATATATGCTGAACAGGTCTCTGTTGCAGCAAGATAACAAATGCTGACTATTTTTGAATGATCAGTCCGAAAATTGGCTAGCCCGTGTTATATTTACAACTTATTCTGCATCTGAGCCCAACAAAACCATGGGCTTTGACCCGCTTTGCTTTTTGCTTTTGCAACCTTTGTGCAAGCACGCGCTCTGTCCTAGTTTTAGTCAAATTGCACTTTACAGGAAGTTATAAAAGCACAGGATACTTTTAACCAAATTCAATAATTATTTAGTGGAAACTCTCTCAAGTCTTCCTATGAATAACCCTAAGGAAATCATAGAGGAAATTCTCTGCTTATAACAGCACAATTCCCTGGAGACCTAATAGCGATAATGAAAGGAAAAGTTCTATATCTGCCATTATTCATTGCTCGTCTATTAATGGTTTATTCTGCGTGAGTATTTGCCAACTGTTAGATTTATCTGATTTGTTTGAGATATATCTTTGGAACCCTACTATCAATGAGTTACGACGACTTCCCAATTCTTCATTTGATTTAAAAATTGAGAAAACATGTGATTTGCTAAAATTGTTGGTGTGATCTTCTATATATTTAGCTACTAGGTTCATGAATAACCTGATTAAACTTTAAAATATTAAAAATAACAAAAAAGTATATCCTTATAAAAACTAAAAGTATTAAGAATGTTTCAATATAAATTAGAAGATTTGACATTGTTACATATCTCAAGAACCTCTAATATGATTACAAAAGTTGTCCTCTTTGATCAATTTTATCTTCTAAGTAGTTTTCTATTGTAACATTTGTTCCTTGATATACTTGACTTCTCAATATCGAATGATCTTTCATGAAATAATCACGCATCGTTTTCTTTATTTTTGTCTACATGAAAAATATAGGATATTCAATTTCATGGCGCACACTATACTTGTCCTAAACAACTTCATGATGTGAAGGTTACACAAAATCATCACCATTATGATCAGTGTTTAGTTTTGACAAGCTAGACCCGTTAATAAACAATTAAAAATTAAATCGAGGATAATCCAGATTAGAAAATTTCAAGCACAATGTTCTTCCAATAATCTTCACCCTTCAAGTCATCGTTGGAACCATACTATTAGTTCATTGTGTCACGTCCTTAGTTTTTAACTAAGTAAACGTGTGGCACTTGACAACTCGCTCACGATCTTGCACAGCTTGCTCACTTCTTGCTATGCCAAGTAAGCCTTACTACCTCTCGCCTAGGTGGCAAGTGCTTAGGCAACTCCTCGGGCATGGCATCTTTGTTTTCCTCAAGCAACTTCTCTATGCAAGGCGGCAATGTCTCTTGAAAACTCTTGTCTTCCTCTAGACTTGCAATGGTTGCCACGAACGTTGGCTCCCCCTTCTTGATCCCCTTGACAACCTGCATAGCTGAGATTTGTGCTTGGATCTGTCCGTGTGGCATAGTCATTGTAGGTACCATGCAAGCTCCTTCTCTCTCCATAACCAAGAGATGTTGGAGGTAGGAGTCGATCAAAGTATGACAATGTCTAAAGAACTCTTGCCCCAGTATGATGTCAAAGATATCCATAGCGGTTACGGTAAAGTTTGTCATACCTTTCCAAGCTCCCAATTTGACACCTACTCCAATAGCTACCCCACGAGCATTTTGTACCTCGGCATTCACGGTCTTGACGCGAGAGTTGGTTGGAGCAAGCTGCAATTCTAGTCTCTTTGCGGCAGCCTCGGTCACGAAATTATGAGTTGCTCCAGTATCCACCATTGCACGGGCGGGCTTGTTGTTGATGGTGAGATCCACGTACCGATTGCCATTCTCGGTAGGTTGGATAGCTTGCTTTGTGACAGCACCACATAATCCGATCATACCCAAATGTGCGGTTCCCGAACTCTCTCCTTGCGGCTACTCCTTTCGTTCACGGACTACGGCGTTAAGGCTCTTTAGGTCGGGACAATTCCTGAAGCTGTGCGGCCCTCCGCATATGTAGCATCCCTTCTTCTCGGCCTGTGCCTTCTTCTCGGCGTAGCCCTGACGACCACTCGACTTTTTGGAATCTTGAGTCTTGGAGTATTGTTGATGTATCTCCTTGCCTTTGCCACGATCTCCCCCGCCTTTGACATTGTTAACCTTTGACTCCTTGCCATTGCCTTTGTCGTGCTTGCCATGCCTGAAATCCATCAATGATTCGGCCTCCACTATGGCTTGGTCTATATCAGTGACTTGTCGGCGTTGCAACTCCTGCTTAGCCCAATTTTGCAACCCGTCCATGAAGTGGAACAACTAGTCATCATTGGCCATGTTGGGGATTTATGCTCCCTGTTTGCTTCAATTTGCTAAGCTTGCGCCTTGCCTCATACAGGAGATTGTTTGGAAAGAACTGTCGCTTGAACTCGGCTTTGAACTGATCCCATGTGCTAATAGTACATAGACCTTTATCCACGTCGGCCATCTTCCTTCTCCACCAAAGCATGGCAGTCTCTGATAGGTACAATACCGCAGTGTTAATCTTGGCCTCGTCGTCCCTCACTTTGCCGTGCCTGAAGTAGTTCTCCAAGTGCCACAGGAAGTTTTCCACTTCTTGTGCATCACGAACACCTTTGAACACCGGGGGTTTGGGAGCCTCGATCTTGGCCTCCCTCGTCACCACAACATTGCTGGCTACCTCGGTCACGCCAGCATTGACATGCTCCTCGAGTGACTCTATCTTTGCCTTCATAGCATCGATAATACTCAAAGCCTCCATGAGTCTGCACTCTAAGGCAGTGATGGTTTGCCTTAGTTCCATCTCGGTCTGTGTACGTCCCTCCAAGTCAGCCTTACTACACTCAAAATCGCTAAGAGAATGATAGAAAGAACATAAAAGAATTGTTAAAGGAAGCTTTGTATTAGAGAGAACTTGAATTGTTTGCTTGATGAATTACAAATGAATGGCCCCCCTATTTATACTAATCACCTAGGAGCTAGTGTGTAAATAATAATTGTTCCACGAGTCCTTAATATTTACAAGTAAGTCCCTTCTCTAGAATTTTCTACAAGCCTAGAAGATTCCAAGGACTTTCCTAGCAAATTCATAAGGATCTAGGGTCTTCCTAAGGAAATATCCATATTTCTCTAGAATCTTCTCACAAATGCTAGCATTCCTCTTATGTAAGCTTCCACATGGCGCCTATGTGGCATAATGACATGGCGGGCCATCACAATTGGCTAATAAAAACACGCAAAGAAGAAAAAGAGAACAGAAAAAAGCAGCATACAGAGGCAAAGAAAAAGAAGACAAATAGATTGCATGCACTAAAGAACTCTCCCAAAAACTTTTACAAAATCTCATCAATAGATTCAACAAAGAAATTACAATTGAACAATTAAAATACTAATGAGGATTAAATATAAAATATAGTATCAAAAATGCTCTTCGTCGTATCAAAACTTTCACTTATTATATAATATAGAATATTGATAACAATGTGTTGGATTAACCTATATTAAGCCGGCAGTAATTAATTTTCATTTTGCGTGAAAAAATGGTTATGAACTGAATCTTCCAACAGTCCAATGTTTATGTCAAATCAAAGTTGTGATGCAAACAATATCAGTAGAAGTTACCCAATTTTTGTATGACAATTTTATGTAATATCAGTCATCTTAAATACTACTTTACCTATTTGACATGTACCATATAATTTAAAAGATATAATAATGAAATTACAAACTCAACACTCATTTGCTTACAAAAATTATCAACCTTATTTTACCACTAAAAAGTGATTGGTATAATGTTCTTTTGACAAATGTTTCTTCTCTTTTAAAGAAACTCTTTCAGCAAGAATTACCATTAGCTAAGTAAAAATAAGCTTACAGTATTTAGCTAGCGATTGGACATAGATTTGATTGAAACTTGAAAAAAGAGTTTTTGAAGTTGTATGGAAAAATAATTTTTGAAAGTTGAAGTTGTGTTTGAACATGCATTTTATTTGAAGTTTTGTGAGTGGAAGAAAAAATTTCATCCAAAAACTGCACGGAACTTAAAAATTTTTGAATATTTTTTTCCCAAAATATAATTATATTTCATAAACAAATAATATTTTTAATTTTTTTTTTTAAAAAAAGGTGAAACCAAAATCTGTAGCCAAACTGGAGCTTAGTACATTGTGATGTAAGGATTAAGTGCATGTCACATCTGTAATGTACTAGAAGCCTAATTAGAAGTATTAGTTCATTGTTTACCAGTTTCAAAACTTGAAGTTATAAATAAAAAAATCAAAACAAGAAAAATAAAAAACATTCAATGCTACTTTTCCCTCTTATTTTCCTAGAAACTAGAATTTGCACCCAATTTCCACAGATCGTCTCAGTGATCATCAATGGCTTCCACACCTCGAACACGGCCCCCTAGACCGCCCTCCTCTCTAAGCCCTAACCCTAATCCCACCAAGCATAAAACCCCTTCTTCTTCTCGTCCTTCTACATCATCCATCGCTATTCCTCTAGAACCTTCCTCGAACTTCTTCCCTTCTTCTAAATCAGAGTTCACACGGCTCCTCGCCGTCGTCTTTGTTGCCGCAGCCGTCGCATTTGCCTGCAATTACGTCTTCACATTTCTCAATTACCAGCCGAAACCTTTTTGCGATAGCAATCCCGAGTTCGATGCCTCTCTCTCCGGTTAGTCCATTTTGTTCTTCTAGTAATTTGTTGTTTTTTCTAATGTTATTTTCCGAATTGTTGTTTTTCTTATAAGCAACATGTTAGGCTATCGAAGCCTGATTATAACAATTACTTCCTCCGTCCCGATTTATCATACTGTTTTTTGTACTACTTTCACAGCTATCAGCCATTTTGAAATCATCAAATTGTTCCAAAAAAAAAATGACTTTTTAATATAACGTTTTAGATGTCATAGTAAATGCTGAACAGTTACATAAGTGTTCTCTTAAGCTATGGCTAAATAAGGAAGTTGTAATGCCAGAAGAATTCAATCTGTTGGAGACTAAGAAAGGGGCAAGCTTTTGCTAGAAAAGTACTCCTATCTTTAATCCCCAAACTTTATAATTTGGATGGAAAGTCATGTTTTCACCTTAAACTGAGGAGCATAATCCATAAAATTTTGATTAGAAGAAAAACCAAGTTACTGGACTGGATTTTTTAACTACAGCAGCTCATGACCTGCTCTTGTTTTGAAAATCTTATTACTCTGAATGATTGGATTGGAATTTAAACATTAAAGACAAGGGAAGCTGAGGTATGGGCTTGGATGTCATAAGAGGTTTAGGGGTTAAGAAAATGCTAGGTGGTTCGGATATACTTCAGCTTTATTAGTATATCATGTGGAAAATGTAATGTTTATCACATCATAGAGTTATTCTTATTCAAATGATTCATTACATTATCTTGTGATACACTATGTCTATGTGTCAAATATACCATTATGCGGATTGCAGAATGACCCCAATTATCTAGTATATTTGTAATACTTATTGGAAGACACTCTTAACAAGGAGGTTAAAAGAAAGATAAAACTGCCATAATTTGTTAATAGTGGGATATCAGCACATGATCATCTGTTTTCCTCTGCAAGATTTCTCTTTGCAGAGAAAAGAAGCAGAAGATCACCAGAAATGCTTCTTCCTCGTAATTTCTCTGCCCGTTTAACTATCGTCTGGTCTCCTCCAGCGAAAGAAATTTTGTTATATGATTTCTGAAAACTGTTTGTTGGTGTTGTCAATCTTGCATTTACCAGGCAGAAACTTAATCAACACATTGCTAAGATCTCTCTCCATCTTAATGAATATCAAGAATATCTATCCCACATAATGAGAGCATCTGTTGTTCAGTTTCTTGTATCCATATCATATAGCTGGAGAAGGGTAAATACCACAGGTTAAAATTATTATTCTGGTTCTAGACGGGAGAACTGCGGATGTCATCTTCTTTTGCAATTTTATGTGGAACACTGCTAGAAACTTCCTAATCAAATATGCGGTTTATTATACGTTATTTCTGTTTTGCATTTGCTTTTTCTTACAACATTTCAAAATCGTGTGATCCTCTTCATTTTGGAGAAGAGAAGCTGCGGAACATTATGTTCTTCAGTGCTGACAGCTTCTTAAATAACTTCCAACTTTTTCGTTGCTCTTTGAGATCAATAGCTTTGTTGGGTTTTAATTATTCCTCATTGCTTTAGACTTCTGTGAGCCTTGTCCACTTAATGGAGTATGCCATGAAGGCAAATTAGAGTGTGCGCATGGCTACCGGAGGCTCAGGAACTTATGTGTTGAAGATTCAAATATAAATGAAGCAGCTAAGAAGCTCGTGAGTGACACCTATTTACCTATTTTAGTTATAAACATGCAGTGTTGGTTAAGTTTGGGTTTTGAATGCTTGCTCAATTGTGTAATTATCTGGGTGCAGTCAAAGTCCGTGGAAGGTCTTCTCTGTGAAGAATATGCTCAATTTTCATGCACAGGCACTGGCAATATTTGGGTGCGTTGCTTTTGAATCTTGCGTACACCCCCCCCCCCCCCAAACTCACACACACATACAAAAAGAGAGATCCTCAAGATGTCTTTTGTATTATTAAGCTACTGGTTAACATTCTTCATAATTTGACGCTTGCCTTAGGTTCAAAGTAACCAATTGTGGGAAAAAGTGAATGAATCTAAAATAATGGATGAATATGGCTTGAACAAGGCGGTTTATGCTCATGCCATGCAACGAGCCATGGAGGCTCTTGGCAAGGTTTTGGAGAGAAGACTGAATGATCAAGGGTATGCTCTGCTGATTTCTGTTATACTAACCATTATTTCGTAGCAAGCAAATGAAAATATATCATATTCTTTTTTCATTAATGTTTCTTCATCTTTTGTCTAGAATTGAAGAGTTGAAGTGTCCAGCTTTGCTGGCCCAACATTATACACCAGTTTCCTGTCGCATCCAGCAGTGGCTTTTTGAGCATGCTTTGCTATTGGTTCCAGCTTGTGCATTGGTACTCCACAGTAAGAGCAACCTTTGAAAGCTTATATTATAACCGTCTAAACCTTGTTGACAATATTGGAATTTACAGCTCCTGGGATGCATTTTCATGCTGTTAAAACTCCGTCGGATGTATTACTTGTCAGTTAGAGCTGAACAGATATATAATGAGGTATTTAACATCGTTTTCCTTCCTTGGAGAATCTATCCTGTGGCATTGTTTGCTTTCAGTGTCAACTTGTGACTGGCTATACTACTTGAATATGATAGGCTTGTGATGTACTTGAAGAGAAGGCAGTGAGTGCAAGAAGTATGACGGGCAAGCATGAATCTTGGGTGGTGGCATCACTGTTACGGGATCATCTTCTTTCACCGAAGGAAAGGAAGGATCCAGTGTTATGGAAAAAGGTGCTAATGTCCTCCCTTCTTTTTTTCTACATTTTTGGGTTCAGGGATGATATTGTGCTTCCTACTTTTCCTATGCCTAGTTGAAATGCTTTCAGAGTGTAACAAAATAGTATATGGTTCTTGATTGGAGAAAACAATATAGTAGAAGTTTCTATCTTTTCTATATCTGTATTTTGTAGGTTGAGCAGTTGGTTCAAGAAGATTCTCGTCTAGAGAGATACCCTAAGATGGTCAAAGGTGAAAGTAAAGTGGTATGGGAATGGCAAGGTAGGAAGCCATTTTACTGTCTCAATCTTGAGTTAAACACTTGCTGTTGTTGATCAATTCACCTTTTCGCTAACATGTTCTTTCTAAGCAGTTACTGGTTCTGTTTCCAGCTAAAAGTCAATTAGTTAACTGCAACGACATTTGCATTTAAAACATGATGCATGGAGCAAAAGTGCACACACTTTCACGTTGAAAATGTCCATTTTGATTGGAACACATAATAGGAATTTTTGCTCCTATGGATGTCTTTTAGAAACACTTCTTTTCCTGTTTAGCAGTTGGAATTTGCTATTAAGAAAACAGGTTTTTGTTGCACTGCACGGTGAACACCACTGATGATGTGGTAAAGTTGCTAATAGGTTTCTGAGTTTTCTTTTTTACTTTTGTTGTTTTTCTTTTTTGACTTTTTCTCCTTCCTGAAGTTTTTGTAAAAAATTTAATTGCAATCTCTTCCTCCTACCATAGCAGTATGGTAAGTGGTTAAATGTCGATCAGTTTTGAGACTTTGAGAGCCCAAACTCTAGGTAGCATTTTACGATGCAGTAGAGGCAGTCTATCACCAGAGGCTGTCAATGTAAACTGTGTTACAAAAGATCAGTTGGGAATTTGGGAAGAAAGTTCTCAAGCCAGTGTATTAATGAGAGTAATAGATTGAGTCCTTAGAAGAAAAAGAGAGTAATAGATTAAGAGTTTTTTTTAGCAACTACTTACGAAGTAAGATTGAGACTCCTTGTGCACTCATAAATAGTTAACTACATAATGAAGCGATATTCTGGAGGTCTGGTGCTGCCTCAAGGCAAGTGTGAATTGTATTTTGTTCACAAAGTATAGTCCTTCCCATAAATCTGTATAGCTTCACTTCCTTGGTTTTTATTTGACTTTGGGTGAGACTCTTATAATAGTTACTTCAATCTAGTGCTTCCTTTCTAAACTTTTTCTGTCTTAATAATATCCCTATATGACAATTTAAGACGCTGAAATTTTTTTAAAAAAAAGACAAGGCACTTTGAACGAGGTCTATGCCCTGCCTTGCTAAGCTCTTTTACCACGTTTTAGGGGAAAAAGAAAGAATATAAGACAACAATAGGATGAGTACCCATTCCAGATTTCTTATAGCATAAAACTCTTTATTGTTTGTTCCCCTGAATTTGACTTTAATCTTTCTGTTTATGTAGTTGAGGGTTCTTTAAGCTCTTCGGGTAAGAGGAAGAAGGCACAGGAAAGCAGGCTAGAGAGAGGTGAACGCACAAATCTCTCCCCTCAGCAAAGGAACTGGCTATTAAAGGCCGAGGAGCCTGTGAATTGCTGAGCTCTATCCTACGCTCTTGTTCGCGTGTTTTAAATTGTTGTATAGTAGTACTTTTTATTGGCAAAATGCAGTTCCCAGTTGTACACTTAGATCCATGATACACGTTTCAGAATAGCCTTGTAAATCTGATTATTTAGTCTGGCGTGCAACAGAAACGCAACAATTTTGGCTCTGATGGAATTCATGTGGGAGCTTCATAGTCCCTCTCTAAACGTACTTTCTTTATGTCACATTTGTGTCTAATTGTGTTTGCTTTATGCTTGGATAATATGATGTTTTCTTCATACACATCCCAAAATGTACCTTGAATTTGATGGACTGTTTTGCCAGCCAGCTCGACTTGTGATACTGCTGTCAAGGTTCTTTTAGGATTATAAAGGTGAATATTGAAGAAAATGACATTGTCAAGTCATAAGAGCTATATTCGCAATGAAATTGGAAAAGCCTGAGAGCCAAATACTACTATAACAACAACAAATCCAGGTAATTCCACAAAGTGGGGATCTTGGGGAGGGGGAGGTAGAGTGTATGCAGTCTATACCCTTACTTTGCGGAGGTAGAGAGGCTGTTTCCAATACACCTCTGGCTCAAGATAAAAGTAAAAGAAGCAGACACAACACATAGAAATATCAACAAGATAAGATGATAGAACAGTCGAAGCGAAAGAATCAACATATAGTAAAAGAAACCTACGAATAAAAAAATATGAAAATAAGAGATTAATACTAATTTTACCGACATGAAAATAAGACACCCCGCCTATCTACTAACCCGAGAGCTAAATACCAGTCAACATATACTAAAAATAATGACTTTATGGGACTGAATAGTGTCGGTAGAGAGTGAGACTTACTAATGGAATGGCACTTGATAGTATGTCATCTTCAGATCTGTCCCCCAACGGTCCATAATCAGTAGTAGTGCCTTTTCAATTTTTTCATTCAAATTCTCACTCCAACTAAGTCAATGAATAATGTCTTTAACGCGTACCCTTCATGTGATTTTATTTCAACACATTTTGGATGTAATTAATGAACTGACCTTAATATATCTTGATGTTTGCTTAAGATTAGTGTATTGAAAATATAGATTAGTTAACTTTAAATGGAGAAGGGAATCTAAAGTAACCTTCCTATTAAATTCTTTATTCCTCCAAAGTAACATGCTGCATTATGCAGATCTACCTTAAATTCTTTTTAAGATGTACCTTTTTGTTACTTAACTTTTATTTCAAGTGGGAAAAAGGTTTGCCTTTTTTTTCAGCTCATAGTTTTAGTCGTATTAATCATATTACCATTCATAAACTTGGGTTCCATCACCATCCAGATCTAATAAGATATATAAGTATCAGAATATTATTATTAGAGTTAGCTGCGGAAAATCCAACAGTCCATTTTTAGAAATAAACAAATAATTGTTGTCGGTTACATTAAATAATTAAGCCATCTTCATTTGTCAATCTATTCAAGGCATATACAAAATTGTCATAATAATTGTCCTTCCCCACTTATAAAATGGTATTACTAGATCTTTTGGAAAACCAGATGGGATGCGATGTAGACAGATGAGTTAATACCTCTTATTTTTATATGGGAAAATAAATCCCAGATATTGTTGTATGTCGTGTTACTTTTTCATAAATTACTTCAAATAAAACTAGAAATGTAAAATATTTGTACTACCAAGTCAAGTTTAAAAGGTAAAGAGAACGATGGAACTTATAAATAGTGCACTTGTGGAATTCAAACAATGGACTTAATAAAAGTGAACAGTGTATATGTCAAAATCTGATCAAAGAAATTTTACTCAAGGAAGAACGACCATGAGTCAATCAAGCCGAAGTCACGTACAAGAAGCAATACATCAGCGAACGATTCAGCTATGGTCGAGGTCGAGCACTCAGTTCGGCCCGAATGGCTAGTTCGACACTTAGACATTTCAGGGGAATACTCTAGAGGATATTCCAAGAACTTAGGTACTCCGGTTAAGGACCGCTGGGTAAGGGAAGTGTTTTGTATAAATATCATGAGAAAGCATAAGAAAAAGGAGGGCTGGTGGGAACACAGAGAGAGATAGACATCCCTATGAAGGAGAAGAGGTCCCATCCTCTCAGGCTCAAGATCCTGGCATTTTTATTTGTAGTTCAACTTTGTCAAATATATAAAGGTCTATCTTGTTCAAGAATGGTGATTCTCTTCCTTTATGTATTCTTCGTTATCATTTGATATTGTCGAAGCCATCTTCCTTTTCTTACATTATGGGATACAATCGCGACTATAATCAAATTCTACGTTCAGCTATGCTTGTTTATTCCTATCTTCTATCTCAGATCTAAAATAACTTATCTCTAGCTAGGATTTACCCCATATCTTCTTATTTAATTAGTTTAATAAAAAGGCTTGAAACTTTATGGTCAAACAATTTGGCGCCGTCTGTGGGATTTTCCTAGCCAAAGTTTTAGTTTCCTCTAGATCTAAACTCGGTTCTAGTTCTACTCCCCGTTCGTTGTAACTTCATCCTTTCGCCTGTGTGCTTGTGGTGCGGCCTATGTTTCCGTATCTTCACGCACTCAGGACTAGATCGGGTTGGGACTTGAACTCGAAGATCCCAATGGGTGAAGTAAGTCATCAGCTCACAAGATGCCCAGATTCGACTAACGCCAAAATTAAGTACGAGGCTGAGATCGGATCTGGATCTAGCACTCAGTTCATTGCCAATCAGATCGAAGGGACTTTCCAGACCCAAGTAGCGGAGATGGCAAAAACACCAAGCCAAAGACCTACAAGATGCCATCCGAGTTCGGTGAATATTAGCTCAACCAGATAGCAGCTACGAAACATAGCCAAAGAAGGGAACATGGTCGCTCCCTCCCACTCGTCAACCAGTCAATCGAGGTAACAAACGATTTTGTTTGGCTTTAACTTGCTATTTCAGGGGCATACTCACCGACACGCGAACAGGGAACTAACGCCATCAAAATAGTACACCAAGAAAACGCTCCGCGCATATCATCTTGTAGGCAACGGTCGAGCGAAACCCCCCAATAAATTGGTACTCAACGCCATAAAAGAAAAGTCTGTATGGACTCGGACTGGGCCACCAGCCCGAAAAACATACGAATCTCTCCAACATGCAGAAATAACACAAGTGCGTGAAACTCACCCACGCGCTCGCCAAAGCCATTATGCGATGACACAACTAGCTAAAATTCGATCTCGTACGTACATTGAGACTCCCGAAGCTTGAGCGAGACATTCATCACCCGGCCTATCAACTACCTCTCCAGGCCAAGCGATGAAGGGACTAGATAGACTGGGACTCCTCGAATGTATGTACGGACCGTACATCAACATGTAGTATTCTCCAATAAATGAGTAAGCGAATCAACATACGGAACTCTTACGCAACTCCACCAAGTTTACACATTCACGCCAACACAACAAATTTACATTCGACCTCGTTCGAATTTATAGCAAGTCTAAATTCGATCTCGCTCGAATCAACAAATGTACATTCGACCTCGTTCGAATTTATAGCAAGTCTAAATTCGACCTCGCTCGAATTAGCAAGTTAAATTCGACCTCGCTCGAATCAACAAATGTACATTCAATCTCGTTCGAATTTATAGCAAGTCTAAATTCGACATTGCTCGACTTAGCAAGTCAAATTCGACCTCGCTCCAATCAACAAATGTACATTCGACCTCGTTCGTATTTATAGCAAGTCTAAATTTGACCTCGCTCGAATCAAAAAATGTCCAATCAACCTCGTTCGAATTTATAGCAAGTCTAAATTCGACCTCGCTCGGATTAGCAAGTCAAATTCGACCTCGCTCGAATCAACAAATGTATATTCGACCCCGTTAGAATTTATAGCAAGTCTAAATTCGACCTCGCTCGAATTAGCAAGTCAAATTCGACCTCGCTCGAATCAACAAATGTACATTCGACCTCGTTCGAATTTATAGCAAGTCTAAATTCGACCTCGCTCGAATTAGCAAGTCAAATTCGATCTCGATCGAATCAACAAATGTACATTCGACCTTGTTCGGATTTATAGCAAGTCTAAATTCGACCTCGCTTGAATTAACAAGTCGAATTCGACCTCGCTCGAATTAGCAAGTCAAATTCGACCTCGCTCGAATTAGCAAGTCAAATTCGACCTCGCTCGAATCAACAAATGTACATTCAAACTTGTTCGAATTTATAACAAGTCTAAATTCGACCTCGCTCGAATTAGAGTCAAATTCGACCTCGCTTGAATCAACAATTGTACATTCGACCTCACTCGAATTAGCAATTAAATTCGACCTCGCTCGAATTAGCAAGACAAATTCGACCTCGCTCGAATTGGCAAGCGAATTCAACGCTCGAATTAACTACCGAAAGTCAGGGACTTATTGCAAGAAGATCCTAGAAATTCGTAAAGAAAAGAGAAAGAAAGGCCAAAGACGTACAACCAAGGACAAATCAACTATTCCATTCAAAAGAAAAATAGCGTCTTACAAAGGGCCAAAAGGAGGCCCCCACCCAACTAACTAAGCATAGAAAAACTAAATATAGGAGGAAAAATTAAGTACAAAAGCTTCACTCAGCATTATCTCCATCCACGCCATCATCTCTCTCCCCGCTTGGTTCATCGGCTTCACCTCCACTGTCACACTCTCTAACAGAATATTCATCATCAAAGGCAAGCCCGTCCTCGGCCTCATCGCTCCACCGGCCTCCGGTGTCGCGGGGTCATAGCCGTTGGCAATCCGGGCCTCACGCGCTTTAACATGAGCTTCTTCAAAAGCGGCTTCAGGAACATTCCTCGCTGCCAACAAGCCCTTATATATATCCCGCTGAGCCTCAGCGTGGATCTACATCTCGTACAAAGGGTGAGGAACGTCAACAGAGACGGACGCAGAAGGAGTCGAAGCCAACAACTGCGCCCTGTCAGCCTCGAGAGCAACAATTTGATCACCCAGGCTTGAGACGTCTCTCTCAAGCCCGCCAATTCGCTTATCAAGCCGCGCCTCCCTCAGAGCGGTCGTTTCCATCTTCAGACCTGAGAACGCTGATAGTATATTCCAGTGCCGCAGTCCTCGCCAAGGTCGCTACTCGTGCTCTCCCAGCCCTCTCCAGCTCGGTCGCCTTCCTTTCTAACTCAGTCACCTTCTCCGCCAATTCAACACTTAGACCGGCGACTCTAGTGGCACTCTGCTCAAGCTCCGCCCGCAGGGCCACCACCTTCACCTGAAGATCAACACACTCAGCCACAACACCCTT